TGTATTCTAGCTAGCTAATTTTTTTATCTAGTATTCTATACTCTCTGCTCGTCTTCAAATGTATAAACGTAGTAAAACATGGTTTTACTACAGTAATGTTGTTGTAACCAAAAAAACTTTACAGAATCAAATCACTGTGAAATCTTTATATTTTATCATGCATAATGTAATACATTATATATATTACATAGCTAAAAAATGATTTTTCTTCAAACATAATTTTATTGAACTGTGTGCAAAGCAGAGAAAAAATGAATTGCGTATATATATATATATATATATATATATATATATATATATATATATATATCACCACTGGATATTTTGTGATCTTCTTACAGTAAGTATTTAATAAAACAAAAATATGCATCTTGTTTTTAGATGACGATTTAATTACATAAGTAATACTCATAAGATAAGGGAATAAATACATATTCACAGGACTTTTAGATAACTAAATAATTCTTAAAAACTGCAAATAGGGTGGAAAATAAATGTTGGATAAAATGCTTACCCAAATCAATCAATCAATCAATCAATCAAAATTTTAAAAATGAAATAAAAATAAGGCCTTCTTCATTATAGTTCCCATATTTAATATATTTAAAGGACAAGTTCAGAACAATAATCTTTTTCCCAGATAGCGATATCCTCACTCTGCACCAAAAGGCACTAGATCATTTGCAAGCAGGAAAAAAAAACACACACTAGAAGAATAAATAAGCAAACATTTTTTAAAGTGAATCTATTTAATTTTCAGATTAATTTTTCAAATAAGACATTATATTTGAGCATGCTGAGATATTAAATCTTTCTCTGAGCAGCAGTGATTGTGAAGTCATGAGCAGAATATCTGTAGCAATGCCTCACATCGCCTGAAGAGAGCGACTGATCTACGTTGACTGTGTGAGCGCGCTCTGTTTACAGAGAGAGAGAAACATGAGTCTACATGCATGCGCTCAAGCACATCATATGCACATGGCCTCATGTTCACTTTCTGCTTTCTGCTTATTGTTTCGATCTGAAGTGGAAGGAGCTGCCTTTCTGTTTGAGTCAGATTCATTACTCAGAGCTTCTCAGAACAGGAACATCTGAAGCTGTGTCAGGCAGCAGAGAGTGTTTTTATGTGCCTAAATGTGCTGCCAGATTGCCAGGCCTCATTGCTTACAGCCCTTAATATGACTGATGTTTGGTCTCAGCAGCACAATTCAGCAAACATATCTAGTGTGAGGGGAACTTCTGGTTCATTCAAATAGATGTTGCAAACCATGAACCAGCGGCTTTCATAAATCAGAGCCATAATTGGAGGAGGCATATGAAGGCATCACATGAACGTTCCAGACTGTTCTAGAAGGTAAGCATCCTCCTGATGTTTTAGTCAAACTATAGACAGCAGCACATCAGTACAGCAGTATCCTTTACTGACAGAAAATCAAAGAATACATTGCACCAAATTCAGTGACAAAAAAACAAAACAATCCAAGATGGTTGGCAAAGTGAGAGAAATGTCAGTAAATTGACTTTTTATTCAATACTGTAATGATGAAAACTAGTCTGTACAATCAAAAATTACATTTTACTCAATATTTGTGCGGTTTACTTTGTGTTTCTTATAGCTACATTGTTAGCTTAGCAACATGCTAACATGCCTCATAGCAGTGTCTGTTATTGAATCATTCTTGTGAATGATTTATTGATGAATCAGTTCAAAACCAGTCAAAATGATTCATTTATGACTTCAACTAAAAATAAGTGTGCTCAATTGTATTGATTATTGAATGTGCACTTGTAGTCTATTTCCAATATTGAAATTTCATTTTAAAATACTGTACTTGCAGATAATGTGATATTTACAACGACACAACAACAATGCTTTTTTATAGAGCACATTTAAACACAACCGAGGTTGACCAAAGTGCTTTACAAAGAATAAAAACACAGTGAATAAAAGAAAAGTAAACAGAAAAATAAGATCAACAGAATAGAGCAGGAAACCCAGGATAGCATACTAAGGATTGTTACAAGCCAGGGTGAAAAAATATGCCTTAAGATAAGATTTAAAAGTACTAATAGATGGGACATGCCTGACAAAGGGAGGAAAGCTATTCAAAAGCGTCGGACCAGCAGTAGCGAAGGCGCGATCACTACAATTTTTAAGTTTAACTCTGGGAACTATGAGTAGGCCAAGGTCACAAGATCTCAAGTTTCTAGAAGGGGTGTACGGAAGCAGAACTTGATAGGGAACCAGTGTATGGACTTTAAGACAGGAGTTATATGGTTGTATTTTCGCTTCCCTTCAAGCAGTCTAGCGGCTGCATTCTAAACCAACTGTAGATGGGAATTGGACGACTGAGAAATAGCAAAGTACAGGGAGTTACAATAATCAAGCTGAGATGTTACAAAGGCATGGATAGCTGTTTCAAGATTTTTCCAAGATGGAATGGGCTTAACTTACTGAGAAGGTGAAGTTGGTAAAAACATTAATTGACTACAGCTGAAATCTATTTGTCAAACTGTAGACTGGAGTAAAATAGAATGCGCAAATTCCTGGCACACTTTGTATTATATGGAGTGAGAAAGCCAAAATCAAAATTAAAAACAACGTTTTCCTTAGGACCAAATAAAATTATTTCAGATTTGTTTTCATTTAGGTGCAAGAAATTACTTGAAAGCTATAACTGAAGTTAGTTTAGGCAATCTAACAGTGGCTGAAGAGAGTATTTGTTATTATACTGCAGGAGAAGTTAAAGCTGTGTGTCATTGGCATGTAGATGAAAAGAGACAACATATTTTTCAAAAACAGAAGCCAAGGAGAGCAAATACATGGAAAACAACACAGGCCCAAGGACTGAACCTTGCGGAACACCACAACCAAAAGGAATGTTAGATGATGAATAGTGCTCAAATTGAACAGTAAAACACCTATTTGACAAATAAGAGCGAAACCACTGTAAAACCGTACCACAAAGTCCTACTCAAGACTACAGGCATGACAGAAGAATGTTTTGGTCAACTAAGTCAAATGCAGTGCTACGGTCAAAGAGGACAAGAGCCATGGGTTTCCCTGAATCTGTCGTGAGAAATATATAATTTAAGACTCTTAACAGGACAGATTCAATGCTATGTAAAGCTTTATAACCTGATTGAAAAACTTTATTAATAGCATTATCTGACAAGAAAGACTGAAATTAAGCTAGTTCAACTTTCTCCATAATCTTTGAGATAAAAGGAAGATTTGAAATGGGCCGAAAGTTGGAAAGAGACATAGAATCTATTTTTTTTTTACATTTACATTTACATTTAGTCATTTAGCAGACGCTTTTATCCAAAGCGACTTACAATTGGGGGATACATAAAGCGATTCTTCTTAAAGAGGCAAACAAACACAGGAAGTGGTTGTAATACCAAGTTCTTAGACATTGTTCAAATAAGTACAAGCTAGAAAGAGAAGGAATAAATAGATGACTTGGAATCAGCTTTTGCAATCCGCAAGGCTTCCGTGACTGACAGTAGCGCAGTCTCAGTTGAATGGCCACTCCTGAAACCTGACTGGTTAGGATCCAGTTTGTTGTTCTGTGAGAGAAATAATGATATCTGGTTGAAAACAACTCTTTCAAGGGTTTTCGCTATGAATGGAAGGAGAGAGACAGGTCTGTAGCTATCTGTAAGTGAAGTGTTTAATGTAGGTTTTTTGAGCAGTGGGGTTATCCGAGCCTGCTTGAATGCGGTGGGGAAGGTGCCTGTGAGCAGAGATGTATTGATGATGTGTGTGAGTGCACCGTATTTTAAGATACGGTGTTACATATATTTATGAAATAAAAGGCCACTTAATTGCCCTTGAGAGACACTTTCATTACTGTTTCTTAACACATTTAAGTAGACTTTTAAGCAGACTTTATAATAATGACAAATTAAAATTTTTACGCTGAAGTGTATTTTAATCATCTTTTGTCATGCTTTAAAGAAGTACACTTATTTTGATGTGCTGACTAACATACTATCGCACATACAGTATGGAGTACTTTATTTTATCTTTACATTTTACAGTATTGTTGCATCAAATTTATATATTTTTTTACACACACAATTGTGAAATTACATATAGAGATACACTGAAGTCCTACTTAAGTGGGTCAACTGCATTTAAATAGTTTAAATAAAATTAAATAAATAAATTTAAAATTTTGTATAATACATACAATTCATTTCAATTTCAATTCATTGTAAATAACTTTAAACTGATTATCTGAAAACATTGCATTCAGTTCACAATAAAGTAGCTATATTCTTTTCATAATAAGCAC